ATCATAAAAGAAAAAAAAAGAAAAATATTTATATAATCTACACTCACTGGATCCATAGGTCCACATAACTTTCTAAATTCTCCTTGAACATTATATTTTTCATCTTTATGTTTTATTTCCATAACAATGCATGGTCCTGATTGTAGTTCTCCTACCATTGCCTAGTGACAATACTTCGTAAAAAACAAACATATTTCTTACAATTAAAAATTAGAATAATTTAATGTAAACATACTGCATAATCAGGGAGAACCCCTTTATAAACTTCTAAAAATTCTTCTGCATCAAATGCATTAACATAAAATTGTTGCACAGCAGTAACAGAGTAACCAGCATTTTGTATATCATCAATAATATCGCCTGAATTAATAAGCAACAAAATATTATGCAGCTTTTGTTAGAAAAAAGTACAGGAGTTTAAAATGTTATCCAATACCAATCAATTTAGCTTGAACTGCATGTGGTTTAATAATAGAGCAAGTACAATTTTCCAATGTTGCTGTATTTGGTGGTCCCTTTTTGCCAGACTTTTGAGAAGGAAAGAAAAATTGTAATTCCTGAGAAAACCAAAATGTTAGATTGATATATCATCAGTTCAGTATAAATATTAAAAAGTAATACAAACTTTTTCTGCTGCTTCTTCATTTTCAGAGCCATGTACTGCATTGTGAATATTATCTTTAGCATAAAGTGCTCTAAGTGAAGATGGAGATTTTAATACAGCTTCTTCTCTATCTTCTGGTCCTATTACTTCATTCCAACGAGTAATTGCATGATCACCTAATAATTCTAAAGCTACAATAGGACCCGAAGTGAGATAATTTACCATATACCTAATCAAAAATACAGAAAATAGAACTTATACTTAACACTTAAAGGTGCATTTAATATTAATTTGTATCTTACGTCTTATTGGTTTCATCCTTATCTTTATAAAATTCTGTTGCTCCTTCCAGAGACAGTTTAACCATTTTGATATTTGCAATGTGAAAATTATTGGCAATTATTCGTTTTAATATTTCTCCTAATTTATCAACAACACTAGGTTTCAACATTGCAAGTGTCCTAAAAAATAAAAAATAATTTAAGAAAGTTAATAAATACAAATTTTTATAATGTTAGAAATAATAATTTACTTTTGCATTTTTGTTTGTAATTTTGTCCGTGTAACACAATCCGCATAATCTGTTATTCTTATGCTTCGTGAAAATATTGTTACAGTAGCACCTACATAAAAATCTTTTGCCTGAATACCTTCGCATTTTGTCCTTCTTAAAAATGTTTTCCTGCTTTTTATATCAAACTGAAAAGTTACACAATCATTAATTTGCAATTTTAAAAGAATTAATATGAGAAAATATTACGTGAAACGTACCAGTTCAACTGTATTATCGGACGGATAATAGTAAAGATAAAACTTCTTTAAAATAGTGGCTATTTTGTCATACCATTCAGCTTCAAAAATATATTTTTCATTATGGTCCACTGACATTATTTCACTTCAATTTATTTACGATTTAATTTACGAATAAAACTTAAGGATCAGTCTCTTTCAAATTATATGAGGTTATATTCGAACTGCATCAGACTGGCTTCATGTCAAAACTATTTATGTACATGATAGAGTGTATTGAAACTGTTGCATCTATTAAACGTTTCTCTAGTCACCGTTGTTATCTATAATAAAATTTAATTACGTTTCTATGACAATATGACAGTAATCAAGGATCAGCTGATAATGTGTAGTGTTTTTTTTTTATCAGTGTTGTTCATTGACAGCAAAAGGTCCTAAAGTGTTACGTTGACTTTCTGACGAGCATTTGCACAATAATAAAACTTTAAATACTGAAGCTAATAGTATCCGGTTTTAGGGCCAGACGATCAATAATTTCCGAGATATTTAACGTTAAAGTTATGGTTTACGTTTATCTTCTAAAGGTTGGCTAACTTTATCAACAGCGAGCGAAATCTGTAGACTGCTGATAAATAGCCTTGACAATGAAACATGTACCGGTAAACCAACTATTGTTCATAATGATGTTAATTGGACCAACTTGGTATATATCATCTAATAAAATTCTTCAACAATTCGTTAATAGGGGAAAAACTTTAATGTTGAAAATCAACTTGCGAACATAATCGCAAGAATGAGAAACTTTACATAAAGGGAATAAATAAATTGCTGGGTACACAAAAACTAATTATAAGTAACGATAAATATTATACCACAGATTAATGAAAGTTTCGTTAAAAAACCTTGATGTATTTTCTTTGAAAGTAAAACAATAGAACTTTTCGATCAATCTAATATGTATTTATTATAGAAGTATAGAATTCTATACTTGGTGTGCGATCATAAGATATCCTGTCCTTTACATTATTCGTAATCTTATTCTATGTTGAATCGGGAACATTGGAAATGACACGTAAATGATAAGGGGGCTCTAGAGCCCCCATGACGTGACAAAAAAATGCATTGGCTGATAGGTCTATTCTGTACTTCGTCTGTGTTATGTGCTGCAACTGATGTTAAGGTGGATTTATATTATTGGTTCAGATACGGGACTATTTCGTTCAGACAAGCATTACTGTATACAGATGGTAATATTGTTACATTTCAGACAGACTAGTCTTCTCGGCAAAAATGTTTTGTTTCGTACGATACGTGACTGAATGCACCGGGGAAAACTGATAGGTTTAAAAATTTTAAAATTATGAATCATGGTGCTAAGGTTGATTCAGAGTCTCTGTGGACATGGACCATGAAAATTTTATTAGATTCACTCGGGCTTTCAAAGATATTTACAAGTGACTTCGAATTCAGATAAGAGTGTTTACGATGCGCACCAAACAATTAATAGAATTAGTAAGAGGATGTAGATTTTTATACGATAAAGAAGACGAAACGTATAGTGACAATGACAAAAAGGAGGATGCCTGGACGGAAATTGGGAGGATTTTAAATGAACCAGGCAAGGATATATCATATTTGACTTTTTCCTTAATTGAACAAACATTATCCACTTGCTCTGACGAGAGATATTTAATTATCACATTGCAAACCTCAATCACAATAACTGAAGTAGCATGCTGTAATTGATAACTGTATTTTATGGTTCTGTATAAATTGCTAAAAACTGATTGCTAAAAATCTGAAAAACAACTTGTATGTTAGCTCTAATTATTATAATACTGATGATAATTAATAACTTCATTTGATTTTTTCAGCTAAACAAGTCAAAAAGCGATGGACTAATTTGAGAGACAGCTACCGAAGAGCTATGAAGAAGAAAAGAGGCAAAAAAAGTGGACAAGCCACACATAAAATAAAGAAGTGGAAATATGAAGATGAGATGTTATTTTTAGACCCATACATCAAAGAAAGGGAAACTGTTACTTCAATACGCACCAGTGATGAATCAAACAATGAACTAGATACCAGCAATACAACTTCAACAGCAGATTCCAATGTAACACAAATACTATTGTCACCTAAAAATTCTGATGTACCACCAGAAATATTAGCTGGAAGGAAAATAAAAGGAGAAACAGAAACAGCATCAACAGTATTGATGAATTACATTCTAAAAAGCAAGAGTGAAAGTCCGGAGCAGCAACAACAAGAGGATGATATAGATTTATTTTTTAAAAGTATAGCATTAACAGTAAAAAAGCTTTCTCCATACACTCAAGCAATAGCTAAAGCCAGAGTTTTTTCCATTATTTCTGCTTTAGAATTAGAAGAACTTTCAAATAAAAATCGTCACCATTCCCCGTCGTATTCATCCCATTCATCGGTCGTTCCGACACCCATTACATCACTCTCTACACTATAACCACTTAGTTTATTTAATTTTGTAATGATATATTACTTAAAGAATGAATGTTTCATGAAAGGAAATGGGTATGGTGTGCATAAGAGAAATGAATAGAGTAAAATGCTGTAAAACAATAGTAGTATATTTAAACATCTTGTAAAATATATTTTGTACAGTTATTAAACAATAAATAATTGATTTTTTTATAAATAATTGTATTTCTTCATTTTTCCTGATATTGAAGACCTTTCCATTAATTTTCAAGTGTTAAATAAAAGTTATAAACAATTTCTAATTAATCCACTGCAGGCAGTTGTTAATTCAATGCGAAATTAATAAATTAAGATGTTTTATCAAATTAAATCATGCAAATTTATTTAATACTTTCAATAATTAGAAACTACTATCTAAATTGTTATTTAACAAAAAACTAATTATTCTATAATTAAAGCACTTGAGAATAAACCAGAAATTGTATTTTACTATCTACATTATTAGTCAGGTTAAAGCAATTAAAAATTGACTATAAGTATCAATTAAATATAATAGGGATAACGAGGAAAACAATAGCGAAGAAAGACAAGGATAACACTAGAGAAATGAGTTTGACAAGGAAAGAAGTGGGGCTAGAGAAGGATAGCACTGGAGTAATGAGTAAGACAAGGAAAGATATAGGGATAGACAAGGACAGAAAATTTGAAAAAGCGAAACTATCGCCATCTAGCGTTTAGTGACGAGAACTACGATTTTTTAATAGGATAACAGGATATAAACAGAGGTATTAGACAAGGATAGCACTAGTGTGCGACAAGGATAGAGAGAAAACGTTTCCTATTGGCTGGCGGGCCGCTGAGCTCCGCCAATCAGGCCCTTAGTCAAGCCGGGCAGGGAAAAATTATTAATAACTTAATAATTAGGATGATTTTATGAACTTTTAGAATTGAAGAATGAAGTATGGACCTTTAGCAACTTTCCCATGAAGTTTTTAGTGCTCTAAACACTTTAGATAATTAGTTATTAACAATTTTAGTAGGTGATGTCGAGAACGACACCGCATTGCTTCAAGTACCTTTACGGTTTTTTAATAATTTCATGGCTTCCTACTAAATTCCCATGCAAGTAACTATGCGCGTCGGGAAGGCAACTCTCTTAGCTATATTCCCATATAATTTTTATTAACATATTCCAATTAGTTCAGGAGTTATTAAAAATTCTTTAGGTGAAAATTATACCCGTCGCATTCAAGCGTAACACATTTTCGTTATTTCAATGGAAACGCAGGACTAATTATGTACTTTCAAGCATGAGGAATGTAGAATGGACCTTTATCTATATTTTGCAATTAGTTTGGTAACCGTAAGTGGTGTGGTTTATTAAATATTAGCAATTGTTTATACTGGAAGCCCCAAGTGGTCTGGTTCATTAGATATTAGCGATTGTTTATATCAGTTCACTATACACGAGTACGATGAAAAGGAGACGCTTCCATATAATATTTAATAACTCCTAAACTAAACCGAATACGTTAATAAAAATTACAAAAGAATGTAGCTAAAGGAGCTGTCTTTCAGACGCAAATAGTTATTTGCACGAGAATTTAGTAGAAAGCTATGAAATTATTGAAAAACCGTAAAAGTGATATACGCGTCGCATTCAAGTGTAACACATTTTCGTTATTTCCATAGAAATGCGTGATTAATTATGCACTTTAAAGGATGTACAATGTAGAATGAACCTTTATCTATATTCTGCAATTAGTTTGGTAACCGTAAGTGGTCTGGTTCATTAGATATTAGCGATTGTTTATATCAGTTCACTATACACGAGTACGATGAAAAGGAGACGCTCCCATATAATATTTAATAACTCCTAAACTAAACCGAATACGTTAATAAAAATTACAAAAGAATGTAGCTAAAGGAGCTGTCTTTCAGACGCATATAGTTATTTGCACGAGAATTTAGTAGAAAGCTATGAAATTATTGAAAAACCGTAAAAGTAATATACGCGTCGCATTCAAGTGTAACACATTTTCGTTACTTCCATAGAAATGCGTGATTAATTATGCACTTTAAAGGATGTAGAATGTAGAATGAACCTTTATCTATATTCTGCAATTAGTTTGGTAACCGTAAGTGGTGTGGTTTATTAAATATTAGCAATTGTTTATAACGGTTGACTATACTCGAATACGATGAATAGGGGACGGTCCCATGTAATATTTAATAACTCCTAAACTAAACCGAATACGTTAATAAAAATTACAAAAGAATGTAGCTAAAGGAGCTGTCTTTCAGACGCATATAGTTATTTGCACGAGAATTTAGTAGAAAGCTATGAAATTATTGAAAAACCGTAAAAGTAATATACGCGTCGCATTCAAGTGTAACACATTTTCGCTACTTCCATAGAAATGCGTGATTAATTATGCACTTTAAAGGATGTAGAATGTAGAATGAACCTTTATCTATATTCTGCAATTAGTTTGGTAACCGTAAGTGGTGTGGTTTATTAAATATTAGCAATTGTTTATAACGGTTGACTATACTCGAATACGATGAATAGGGGACGGTCCCATGTAATATTTAATAACTCCTAAACTAAACCGAATACGTTAATAAAAATTACAAAAGAATGTAGCTAAAGGAGCTGTCTTTCAGACGCATATAGTTATTTGCACGAGAATTTAGTAGAAAGCTATGAAATTATTGAAAAACCGTAAAAGTAATATACGCGTCGCATTCAAGTGTAACACATTTTCGCTACTTCCATAGAAATGCGTGATTAATTATGCACTTTAAAGGATGTAGAATGTAGAATGAACCTTTATCTATATTCTGCAATTAGTTTGGTAACCGTAAGTGGTGTGGTTTATTAAATATTAGCAATTGTTTATAACGGTTGACTATACTCGAATACGATGAATAGGGGACGGTCCCATGTAATATTTAATAACTCCTAAACTAAACCGAATACGTTAATAAAAATTACAAAAGAATGTAGCTAAAGGAGCTGTCTTTCAGACGCATATAGTTATTTGCACGAGAATTTAGTAGAAAGCTATGAAATTATTGAAAAACCGTAAAAGTAATATACGCGTCGCATTCAAGTGTAACACATTTTCGCTACTTCCATAGAAATGCGTGATTAATTATGCACTTTAAAGGATGTAGAATGTAGAATGAACCTTTATCTATATTCTGCAATTAGTTTGGTAACCGTAAGTGGTGTGGTTTATTAAATATTAGCAATTGTTTATAACGGTTGACTATACTCGAATACGATGAATAGGGGACGGTCCCATGTAATATTTAATAACTCCTAAACTAAACCGAATACGTTAATAAAAATTACAAAAGAATGTAGCTAAAGGAGCTGTCTTTCAGACGCATATAGTTATTTGCACGAGAATTTAGTAGAAAGCTATGAAATTATTGAAAAACCGTAAAAGTAATATACGCGTCGCATTCAAGTGTAACACATTTTCGCTACTTCCATAGAAATGCGTGATTAATTATGCACTTTAAAGGATGTAGAATGTAGAATGAACCTTTATCTATATTCTGCAATTAGTTTGGTAACCGTAAGTGGTGTGGTTTATTAAATATTAGCAATTGTTTATAACGGTTGACTATACTCGAATACGATGAATAGGGGACGGTCCCATGTAATATTTAATAACTCCTAAACTAAACCGAATACGTTAATAAAAATTACAAAAGAATGTAGCTAAAGGAGCTGTCTTTCAGACGCATATAGTTATTTGCACGAGAATTTAGTAGAAAGCTATGAAATTATTGAAAAACCGTAAAAGTAATATACGCGTCGCATTCAAGTGTAACACATTTTCGCTACTTCCATAGAAATGCGTGATTAATTATGCACTTTAAAGGATGTAGAATGTAGAATGAACCTTTATCTATATTCTGCAATTAGTTTGGTAACCGTAAGTGGTGTGGTTTATTAAATATTAGCAATTGTTTATAACGGTTGACTATACTCGAATACGATGAATAGGGGACGGTCCCATGTAATATTTAATAACTCCTAAACTAAACCGAATACGTTAATAAAAATTACAAAAGAATGTAGCTAAAGGAGCTGTCTTTCAGACGCATATAGTTATTTGCACGAGAATTTAGTAGAAAGCTATGAAATTATTGAAAAACCGTAAAGATACTTGACGGTATGCGGTATCGTTCCCGACATCACGTACTAAAATTGTTAATAACAAATTATTGAAGAGGTCTGGCGCACTAAAAACTATATGGGAAAGTTGCTAAAGGTCCATACTTCATTCTTCAATTCTAAAAGTTCATAAAATTATCCTAATTATTAAGTTATTAATAATTTTTCCCTGCCCGGCTTGACTAAGGGCCTGATTGGCGGAGCTCAGCGGCCCGCCAGCCAATAGGAAACGTTTTCTCTCTCTCCTTGTCGCACACTAGTGCTATCCTTGTCTAATACCTCTGTTTATATCCTGTTATCCTATTAAAAAATCGTAGTTCTCGTCACTAAACGCTAGATGGCGTTAGTTTCGCTTTTTCAAATTTTCTATCCTTGTCTATCCCTATATCTTTCCTTGTCTTACTCATTACTCCAGTGCTATCCTTCTCTACCCCCACTTCTTTCCTTGTCAAACTCATTTCTCTAGTGTTATCCTTGTTTCTTTCTATCGGTTCCCTTGTCTTACTCATTGTCAAAATGCAGACCCGATTAAAGGTACAATAATAGCATTAATTTAACGTAGTTTAGCAATGAACCATGCAATTTCTTTTTATATATACAGTTTTAATTTAAGAAGTACTTTAATTTGCATTTCCAATGCATAAACGAGACCAAATAGAAAGTTGTAACTTTTAGCGGGTAATTGTTAAATTGAGGTTACGTTTAGATCGAGTTAAGTTTTAACAATTTTTACTTTGCAATTTTTTGGTAATTTTATCCATTTTCTTTATAGTGTTTGTTTTAAATAGCTCTGATTACGTATAATTTATTGATTATCTAATATATTTTATTGTGTGCGATGAATTCTTGCACTTGGAAAGGCATGGAAAAGGCATCAGACAGTGGAGGAAAAATTTAGCAGCAGTCAATAGCTTCTGGTCCAGAACAACGGAAAAGGTGAATCATTCCAAGATTATCGAAGGATCGAGAGTACCATCGAGAGCATCACCGGAAATGAGGTATTATCAAGTTAGTTTATTTATAAAATAGAAATTCGTCAAATTTTCTATTTTCAATAGTAATTATTTTTCGTTAGAGCATTATTGCATGTAGTGCGTAGTTTAAAAAAAGTTAATACTTATAATAAAGTTTTCATTTCTTTAACATTACTTATAGTGTAGAGGTATTATAATAAAGTCTCTATTTTATGTTTAAGTACTTTAATTGCAGAATACTTAATCAGTGTCTCTTGCTAATTAACAATTCAGATGGTAGTTTATAATTATTGAAAGTATTAAATAAAATTGTTGCATGCATTCTCCTTGTGTGAATTACAGATGGTACTCTCAAGCCAACATAGAAATCAAGGAAAGAACTTCAACATCAGAGAAAATGAAGAAATGCAATTATTTATGAAAAAAAAATCAATTATTTATTGTAAGATAACTGTACAAAATGTATAGATACATATGAAAAGAAATACAAATGATTATGAGGCAATAACATTCTCACTCTTTTACAACAACGTCTCACTCTTAGCTTTTACACATTGCAATTTACAATGAAGTTTAATACAAAGGGTACAAAGGAAAATAAAACTCTTCTTATCAGATCAAAAATCATGTCATCCATTGCTGAATAGAAAGAATTACAAGTAAAAATGGATAAGGTACAAAGACAAACAGAGGATTACTGATGTACCGATGAAATTCGTAATTATTAAATAAGTAGCAATGTATAACTATTAAAGATAATGCATTCAATACATTCAAATCTTTGTTTTTTCTCAAAGCACACACACAGTCCGAATTATTTATCTGTCATTATTTCATCAAATTAGTGATTAGTAATTATTTAGGAATTCGGCAGGAAAGTTTGTTTGTTGTCGAGCATATTCGAAAAATCATAAAATTGTTGCCACGTGGGAGCAACAACCGACAACCCATTCGCCAAGTTTACATCCGCAGCGATATCTTTTTCTTTATCTAACACAAAAGGTTATTTTTATTATGCAAGAACTATTTTATAGTTGTCCAGAGAAAACATTTTTACGAATTTTAAAAAGTATTACATTGTTTGAAATTTACATGAGAATGTACATATACACAGGCGGGATTTTTTACAAGTTTAAATTTTACAAATTTTTTAAAAGTTCAATCGTTGTTTTATTTAAATAACAATTCAATTCAAAAATCGTTTGATTACATGTGCACAAACAATACTAAAGAAAATTCATGGGTTCGTTACATGCAAGAAAACGAATTTCATTGTACAGTTGATGCTTTTAGGTACGATGTAATGAAGAATCTTGCGCAAATTGCTTTCATGAGAATTGGTGAAGACTTTTATATACTCTCCAATGATTGGTTGTCGTACTTACTGATCTTTGATTGGTTATATTCAGCCAAATTTAAGTTCAAATAAATGTAGCGGATGTTATTTAACCGCCGTTCAGCTTCTGCGAAGCAAAATAAAACGTCGTTCTTGACAATTTCTGCGAGAATTATAATTAATTCGATTTTATGTTACATACGTAATGAAAGACATACATTCGCACGTTAAATAAGTTCAATGTTCAGACAATATTAGGTAATTTGACGGTAAATTTGTAGACGTGTGACTGCGAGGATTTGATAGTATTATTTTAGGAAAGGTTTGTTTTATTATATTGTTGTTACAATTGTTCGTATATATACTTTTCATCACGAACAATGTATCTTAAAATTTGTATAATCCAATTTTAAGTAATCGAATTCGTATTTATCAAAATGAATTCTTGTAGAATTGATTTGACAATCGTTTTCTAAGTACTTTAAGATAAGGTGTGATTTAAGGAAGCATGTACGGTGAAGATGAATAGATTCGTTTTATAATAATTAAAGAATGTGTTGAAAGTGTTGGTAATGCATGTGTGGGCTATATTGAATTTTTGTAGTATGCAGTTTATTTTTATTATATTTTTATTAACGGAAATAAATATGTTTAGATAAAATCACACTTACCACAGCCAAAAGTCAATTTAACAAAAATTATTAGCACAATGAGAGGTACTACCAAAAAGACTCATCAAAAAACAACAGAGGATCAAAGTATCATGTCACATGAAAGTTCTAGTGGTGTTCCTGATGTGTTGAAAAAGGCAAAGAGTACAATGAACATTAACACAAAGGCTACAAATGAGAAATTGCTTAAACAAAATCTTACCAGATCAAAAACCATGTCATCCATTGCTACTAAAGCTGTGAAAAAGCCAGTTTCTGCAACCACAATGCACGGAGAGGCTAAGAAACCATTTAATAGGCCTGCTGTTAAACCACTTGTTCAACAAAGTGGCACTGCATTAACAAATAAATCTAGTCAGAATACCATTGATAGAAAATTGCAAAATGGTAATGCACCTAAACCTTGTAAGTGGGACATAAAGGGTAGATTGGCTCATACACATGACACATTGTCTGATGTACGACAAAAATATAAAGAAACTGCATCAAAGTACATTGAACTACAAGAACAAGTAAATATGTTACAGGCAAATGAAACTGTGTATACAACAAAAATAGAAGAATATGAAACTAGGAATAAGGTATTAGATAATGAACTAAAAGAATTAGAAGTGGAGTTCAATAAGGTACAAGTACAAGCAGGGGATTTAACTAAACGCCTAAAAGAATCAGAGGATTCCTGTCAGAATGTTTCAAACATATTGGAAACCTTTAAAAAGAAATGCAGTTCTCAAGAAATCTTACTGCAAAAGCATGAATCTGTAATTAAAGATTTAGAGACAAGATTAGAGGCTCAGGTAAAGATTAATGAAAATTTAAATATAACTAAAAATGAGTTACAAGCTTTGATTCATACAATGGATAAAGATCGTAGAGTTTTACATAATGCTATACAAGAACTGAAAGGAAATATCAGAGTTTTCTGCAGGGTGCGTCCTAGGACTCCAAAAGAACTCGACAAAGCGTATGTGTTTCATATATGTTAATGTTTAATTTCCAAATGTAAAAAAATTTTCTAAAAAAGCCATTTATATTACCCACAGGTTGTGTACCATGAATTTTGTAGATGAATGCACTATCGAAATCGGTAAATCTGATGGACCTGAAGGAGCTAGTTGTGGAAAATTGAAAAGAGCTCGACAGGAATTTTCTTTCGATAAAATCTTTCCGCCATCGACTAAACAAGAAACCGTTTTCGAAGAATTAGCCATGCTAGTTCAGTCTGCCTTAGAAGGATATAATGTTTGTGTATTTGCATATGGCCAGACTGGTTCTGGTAAAACGTACACCATGGAAGGTTTACCGGGCACTGATATGGAAGGCATGATACCTAGAACGGTGTGATATATCATAATCAGTATATATTATTTGTCAGTTGTAATACGAAACAGTATGTTTTCGTTATTCTTTCAGGTACGACATATATTCCAAGAAATGAAAGAATTTCAATTGCTTGGCTGGGAATATAAAATAGAAGCCAGTTTCCTTGAAATTTACAACGAGCATATTGTCGATTTACTCGATCCTCAATCAAAAATGCATGAAATCCGAATGGCCGATAGTAAAGGGCGTGATGTATACGTGAGTAATCTCCATCTAGAGGAAATACATAGTCCTGAACAACTGCACGAGTGCCTTTTAACAGCACAACGTAATAGGGCAGTTGCTGCTACTCAGTCAAACGAACGGTATGCTTACATGTTTTGTTTTACAAATACAAATGTAATAGATTCATGAATGGTTGTGAAATTTAATTTTTCAGATCGTCTAGATCGCATTCGGTGGCTAGAATAAAACTTATTGGAAGGCATCAGACGAAAGAAGAGATTTCGATAGGAAATCTGAACTTAGTCGACTTAGCAGGTTCTGAACGATTGAAAGGCGAGGAATGTATTCGAGTGACAGAAACGAAAAATATTAATAAATCGCTGGCGAATCTGGGTAATGTTATTCTCGCTCTTTTGAAGAAACAAGAACATATTCCGTACAGAAACTCAAAGCTTACTCATTTATTAATGCCGTCTCTGGGTGGTAATTCAAAGACTCTGATGCTGTTAAACATATCGCCTCTAGATGAATGTTTCAATGAAACATTGAACTCATTGAGATTTGCTAGCAACGTAAACAACTGTAAAATAGGCACTGTAAAGAGAACGCGAACAATTTCACAAAACTCAGTATAGTTTCATTAACACGTTCTCACCAATCGAGAAAGAAATGTGTCCGCAGAATCTTGGGAGAAGAAGTTCATACAACATAGCCCGAACTTAATGTAAATAGTACATTGTAAAATGAAATACTACTACAAAGAACTCTGTAATTCCATAACACAGCAATACCCCATTGGGTGATTTTTTAATTTACACGCATTTTTATTCGTCGTCCTATAAAAATTGTTTTCATGGGACCAATTTAGGCTGCATTAAAACAATAAGCAATTGCTCTGACAGTGTTCATCGATATGTACCTGAAATGTATGAATGTACAAATTTGTTGTCCTATGCTGAGGAATATAGAATTAAACTATTTTTATATCGTATGATATATTTAAATTTCAAATAAAAACGTTAATACAGATAAGAGTATTTTATTGAAAACTATGCTCGTAAGATAACTATTTATAAGTCAATTTTATACGAATAATATATCTTGCAGATATTTCTAACGTACAGACGAAGTACAGAATTCTACACTTGGTGTGGGATTATAAGATTTAGTTCTATTTCCAACCACTACTAATGTTGTATTCTTATTCTACGTAGAATCGGTAACGTTGGAAACGATACGAAAATGATAAGGGGTCTTGCTGGCCCCCGAGACGTGGGACCAAAAAATACATTAGGTGATAGACCTATGCTATATATCTCGTCTGTTATTACAATCTATCGCTCTAAATCCTTCAATTAGATATTTCTCTCAACGTTTTCGATCGCGCACTCGCAATTAGTCACGAAATTTTGACACGAGATGTTATTAGAATCGATCAAACGTACCTTGGTAACGCGTGGTACAGCTATTTTCGCAATTACACCGTAGAGACAGTTGGATGCGTACGATCGACAAATGCTGGTCACTGCACTGACAGCTGCGGATCAAATGGACCTCTACACAATTCGCGTGTAATATACCTATGGTCACGCACGTCACGTCAATTACGTTTCATAATTAAATCTCGAGTCTTTCGTTTAATCTAGCTAATGTGTCTGAAACACTAGACTCCGGTTATAATTAGAATGTCCACATGAAGTTGTTAAAATTTTTGCTTCGTTACTTTCCGCCAGGTATGCCACTCGAGTGACGCGAATTTCGGTGAAATTAACGCATGTTCTCGAAAACACTATTCTCTGTGCATATACCTTTCGTTCCAGGCCTTGCCTTGGAGTACACGCAGGGTCAAGACGTCAAGACCAAAATGATCGATCTTCTGGATTTGTCTGCTGAGTAATTAAATCTTTTAATATACCTCTATCTTTTAAGAATGTTTTTCTAAGCTTTTTATTTCTTTCGAGGAATTTATATTCCATCGATACTGCCCCTGTTTCATGTCGTAGAAGTATTTCCGGTTGCATTAATAACGGGAAAGTACAAAATATTTCGTCTCTTCTCTTTTTTTACGCAAAAACTTAAGTTACAATATTTCTGTTTATTCATTCTGTTTTACCGATTCAGGAATACTGTTCTTTCATCCCTTTGAAAATTATTCTGTACCAATTAGGTAATTCAAAAGTAATTAAAAATTAAAAAATTCAGAAATAATTATTCGGTTGTTCTAAACGTCAAAACACAGTGTCCATTTCAGACACTGATAAATACAAACATTCCAGTATCACGTCACAGTTACACCGAAACTTGGGGTTGGGTTATTTAAAAAAAGCCACGTAGGTGTATAATTACTTGGCGGGAAGTAGACGAGAGTGTACGTGTCGTTTTGCAGAACGGACATAAGAGCATTAGCGGAGAGCATAAAAGCAGCCGAGCCCGTAATAACCGAAAATGTAATGGAGCAGTTAGTGGAGACCCTGCAGAAGTTGCAGGCCAAAGTTTGCGACACAAACACGAAGCGCTACTACAAATACAAAACGTTGCATACCCATCTTCTGCCTCTTACGAATGTCGCGTTCGATAAACTAGGTAAAAGGTACCTTCCGAATAAGATTCTTCGAGTACTCTTACAATTTTAATTCCATCCTACGTCGTCACTCTTATTCTACTATACTCCATCAAGTAACTTGAAAATACACTGCTTGCAAAAAAAAAGAAAGAAATTGCAACACTTTAATCCTTGTTTTGGGCAAATGGTAACCATTTCTACATTTTCCTTTAACAATTTTTAGTATCGTCAAATCACTATTTCGACATTTTGACGTCAATATACGTTTTCGAGATAAAAATTTATGCAAATAATATTAAAAATGAAATTGCACAAATCTGAAATTTGCATATACTTTGTTTGGGACATTGAAAGGGAAAAATGATTGAAATTTGGTTGAAAAAGGTATTGTTTATTAAAAAAACGGTCATTTTTTTTTTTTTTAACTAAAATAGTAATAATGGTACTTGTTGTAAAATTTTATCGCAAAGGTATCTCTTTATTTGAAAGAGAAGCATTTTTGCAACTGTATTCATATTACCTTTTTCATCCTTAAAGTAAGCGGAACAAGCTTCTAAAGTTTGACCATCTATTTCAGAATTACTGTGTACATTCTCTGAAAAGTTTTTCTAAAGAGAATAGCTTCTTTGTCATCTGGGGATTGTAGATATAAATTTCTCGCCAAGTTTCCAACAAATTAGTATACAAAATTGCTTTCTTTTTTAATTGCATCGAAGAGTGTATATAAAGCATTAAAACTTCATCCTTTTTCCTTACTTTCCAAATCACACAATTGTTCAGCTTTGTAATTTACACAACTACAATTTTTCACATTTTAATTTGTATTACAATATTATTTATACATGTCATATAACAATTTTTTTTCTTTTTTTCAAAAATATCTCAAATATCAGACTTTTCACAAACACATCTCAAATAAATTAATTTCATTTACATAAAACAATCTCTTACTTAATACAATGTAAATATACTCCTTTCTTTATTTGGCTTATCGATTATCCTTCTGCTGTTACGAGTGAAAGGAACTTTCTTCAACAGATGCCTGACAGGCAGCTATGACCGAACATGTAAAGTTTGGGACATTGACAATGGAACGGAGCTTCTTACTCTCGAAGGCCATCAGAATGCGGTGTACACCGTGTCCTTCAACAACACAACTTCGTACGTCTCCTTTGAGCACTGCTCGTGCATGCATGTACAGGGCGCTTCGTGTGAAACAGGCCACCTAAGTATCTTCTCTATCTGTGATAATACGAGAAATATTTCTCACGTAATTTAAATGGTTTCAAAGATGGCAGAAAAATTTATTTGATGGAAAAAATGACAAAATTGAATGTAAATCTCACCTTTGACTTCAAATTTTGGTATCCAACCTCATTTCAAGACCATACTCGTATTATACATGGATGAGTGCACAGTAATGTTAGCTATAACATACAACAGGAAAAATTATGTGCATGTTATGTGCAAAAAATGACATTTACAAAAAAACATTTCTTCCTTTTATCCTGATCGTTAGATACTATAATTCTACTCGAAAATTAATTCTTTGCAAAGTCCTCTTTCAACCCTCCCGACGTAACAACCCCACGTTTACATTTTAGAGACAAAATCCTAACTGGTTCGTTCGACAAAACTGCAAAGGTTTGGTGCTCTCGAATAGGTCACTGCCTGCAAACAATGTGGGGTCACGATGCTCAAGTAGTTGTCGCAAAATTCTCACCTAACAATAGCAAAGTTGCCACAGGTTCGATGGATATGACGTCGAAAATTTTTCAACTAGCCACCGGTATCTATCTACCTATATTTAAACAAATTATATTAAAATTCGTATCTTAACCCTTTCGCTGCAACAGAGTTTCATACCCAACGTGTGTGAGACAGACGATAAATTTTTAACCACGGCTGTAAGATTTGTTGTTTCATCCGCACAGTTTTAAAATTCGGTTTCTTAAATTAAGATGGAAACGCGTAAAGGATCGAATTAAGGTGGAAGTGCACCAAAGAGATTTCAACAGTATAGTACCAGGAAATTTTCAAAACAGTCAATTCAAAGCAGTGAAAGGGTTAAAAGCGTAAAGAATGTTATTAAAGTTTATAGATCCATTTTAATTTATAAATAATTCACAAAATTCGGAAACTACGTTAATGGAGAAACTTGCTTTCGGGAGATCTAAAGAGGTGAAGGGAGAGACACCAAAGCGTGTCGGAGTGAATTCACTTTAGGGGAGGCATTAAGGTCATTTAAAGGTCAGTTTGATTTTTTAAATCGCAAGTGTCATATCCTTTTCTACACACGAAACGATAAAGTACGATAAGACGAGCTCAACGACCTCAAATGTTGCATGATTTTATTGGAAAAAAAAAAAAAAAATTCTGCACACTTTAATGTCCACTCTTCACACTCTTTAATATCTTCCGAAAGCAAGTTTTTCAATTCGAAGTACTTTCCTGTGGAACATGTAGCTATATAAAAGTCTAAATAAAGTTCAAGTAATTAAATATCATTTTAAGGAGAAATTAGAATTATTACTTTTGGACTTTTCAAATGTAAAATTTGAATATTAATTTCATAGGTGACGAAATGGGAACGCTAAGGGGTCACACGGCAGAAATAGTCGCTCTACATTTCAATAACGATGGAAGTCAAATAATAACAGGCTCGTTCGACGGTACTGTCAGTGTTTGGGACACAAGGACATTTGGGTGAATTATGACTCTTAATTTCACTTTGAATTTCGTAACTCTTAGTTACGAACGTACGTTACTTGACTGTTTTTCTTTTTGCTCGTTTTCGAAATCTTTGATCGTTCTGAGATTCAAGTTTGATAAGATTACTGATGTTCCTTTATTCCATCTGTTTGTTCTTTTCTTAGCCGTACAAGCGTGTTGATCGGTCATCGATCAGAACTGTCGAACTGCGTCTACAATTTCGACTGCTCGTTAATCGCCTCGTCGTCGATGGACAAAACGGTCAAAGTCTGGGACACGAGGATGAACTCCTGCTTGGCCACTCTGCGAGAACACGAGGACGAGGTACTCGACGTGACCTTCGACAATAACGGGAAAAAGTTGGCGACCGCGAGCAGTGACACTACCGCTCGTGTTTGGGATGTGAGCACCAATTTTCAGCAGTTGGCATTGATGAAAGGTCACCGGGAAGAAGTTTCGAAAGGTGAACAGATCTTGTTGGAAATACATTGACAATCGTGATTTATTTTGTCTGTCATTGAATATTAGGTTTTGTAAAAAATTTGAGGTTTATTTTCCTGTTAGATCAGGCAAGTGTACTGAAACCATGTTACATTAATTTTTTTAACAAGAACACTTCCGTTTGTAAGTATTGGGATTTTTACCGAATGTGAAGAGTACTGAAATCTACTGAAATCTGTTAAACTCTGCCGAAGTCTACCAAAATTAACCAAAATCTACCAAAATTTTTTGAAATCTATTAAATTCTGCTCAAGTCTATCAAAATCTACTGAAATCTTCTGAAATTTACCAAAATCTACCAAAATCTACTGAATTCTATTCAAATCTACCAAAATTTACTGAAATCTTCTGAAATCTATTAAATTCTGCTAAAATCTACCTGTTGAAAAAAAGAAAAATATTTTTTAATTGCTTAAATCCAATGAGAAAATTTGATTCAGTCTGTTTCAGTCCAAGTAGTCAACACCTGTTAACATCATCCTCAGACGGAACGTCGAAATTATGGTCTGTGAAGAGTGGCTGTTGTATACAAGTACTTGATGGTCATACAGACGACGTTTTCAGCTGTGCTTTTTCGTATGATGGCGATACTATTATCACCGCGAGCAAGGATAACACTTGCATGATTTGGAGGTGACTCGATTGGTTTCGAGTGTGCCCTTAGCTCTTTCTTGTTGCTCTGTTCATTGTTTATGTTGTATACTTTTACGCGATTTGATTATTATTTACGTTGCAAAACAGACACTGCGTGTGTTTTGAAAGATTTTTTTTTATTATTGTTCGAGGAGCAATTTTAAGTTGTGAGTATTACAACATAAATATCATTGATTTAGCTGTTAATACGAGCAGGATTTTTAACGAAGACTCGATAAATCAATAAAACGAATTACAAATTTCTTCGAAATTGCCATTTGAAGTTTTGTCAAATTTAACACATTAATAATTAAAAAATAGGAGATTAAAATTATAGCAGTATCAATCGATATATAATAATAAAGAAACTAATAAAGTAATTTGTTAAATGTTGTAAATAGAAGCACATACGTAGGAAAATTATAAAATATTATAATATACAATACCTACTGTTCAATTTTAAGAATTTCGATATTTTGAATTAAATTACGTTAGGAAAACAAAATGTTTGTAGAAGTATTAGAGTACCAATTTTTAAATGAATATTCTTCACTTAAATAAATTAACACATAATGTAAGACGATAATTACGTGCAACGCAGAAAACAATATTTAATCGTCTAAAAAACGAAATGACTCTTTGTTTCCATAACTTTGATACCGAAATTACCGAGAAAAATGAACGTAATTAATTTACTTGGGAACTCTGCCTGAATAATGCATAAAAACGCTTGCATGAATAATGGAGTGGCATAAAACATAATATAAAGGAAATTTAAACGATCAATTTAATGCTCGTACTGAATCATATTTATCGTTACTCGATCTAATAATACGTCGAATAATTGCCACCAATGAAAATTATTTTCTTACATTTTTCAAATGCAAACTGATTGAAATGCTTTCCCTTCTAATTCATCAAAGAATAATAATCCCAAATGTGAATTCAAACTTCATTTTCTTAACGGGGAAAATTGCAAAATTTTGCATAAATATATCTGGTATTTTAAATACCATAAGAATTATTGATAAGGTAATTATTACATAATTAATTATTAATAATGATTGTATACTGTAGCAGTTACTATGTATGTATATAATATTTACAGCACTTTATATTTATGAATGCAACATTCATAACGTTACAAATATAAGATTTAACATATTTTCAAAATGTAATGCAATATAATTATTGATAAAATATCAAAGTAAAGTCAATATGTCCACCGATCACAACGCAATATGTATCTCCACGAACAACCCCGAATTAACCCTTTCGTGACCAGTAGAATTCATATTTTCCAGTTGAATATTCTAACAAAAATTAATCTTAATTCAGTGATTACACTAAATTAAGGCCAATAATTTACGCGATGAACTGTAGATAAATAATAGATTTAAAAAAATAACAATTTGGTAACGAAAGGGTTAAACGCGATACGCAAAAATGATATTTATTAGAAACGTTTTTTAGAATGGAACTAAGGAGTGTTTTATTAGCAAACACGTAAGAATACTTGGTAGAACGTGTAATTAAAAGTTGCCGCTTAAAAGCTACAATTAAACCTCGGCTGGCATTTCGCTGCAATTAAAGCAGTGTCACATCTGAAAAATTGCGTAACTTTGCACGTAGCATTATCAATATAATTAAGTGGCAGTAAGAAGACAGTTTAATGTTCCATAATTTCGCCATTATGCGATACTTCGAACCTGACCAGTTGTAATCCTTTTACAAAACAAACGGTTATGCGAGCATTTTTATTTCGCGCATGATCATACTTGGAACATTTGAAATTATCACTTTATAACGAAAGAGAATTTACAGAGTCATTTAAATTAAATGTAATGGAAATTGCGATTAAAATTTTTTGGTGGTTTTTGTTTTTATCTGTAATGTCCCACGTGTATCTGGGACATTAAACCAACGAAAAAATAGCCAGTTTGATAATTTTGAACGTGCGTGTTTTGAAACTGTGCCAAGTATGACCATTCCAAATTTAACGGGTGTTCTAACTTTTGTAACAACATTAAGATAAATCCGACTTCGTTGTACCGGGTGTAGGTCATTTCTAAATTGGCATAATACTTTGTGATCTCATTCCGTATGCGAATTTATGAAAATAAATTGTAAATTTATAACTACCAATTAAAATTTATGATAAAAAAAAAACAGAAATTTATTATGAATTAAAATAAAATATTTTTTTAAGTTTTATGATATAAGTTGCGAGGTTCATGTAGCATAAATTACAAGACTACGTGAAATTTACGAATATAACATGTATGGTATAATTACTGTGTTAATAATTACAGTAGAGGAATTTATAAAAAATTCATAACGTTTGTTTAACGAGTTTTGTTCTTCTATTGTAAACATGTTTGACAATGACGTCATCACACACTGATACGAAGTGTGTGTGTAAGTGTACGTTGTTTAAATGAAATTTGTGGAATATTTATATTATGCAAATAACGGTATAATGTATACTTCTGAAAACTGATAAACTGCTTTCGAATATATTCACATATGCAAATAAGAAGAATTGTAAAGGATAAAATATATTTAAAAATGATCAAAAAGTTGGAGGAGACAAAAAATTATTTCACAGTTAAATTTAACTCTGAAACAGAGATTAACATTTGCAAGCAAATTTCGAATATTTTCATTTCCAGAATTATTCAATTAAATTCCGCACTTACTCCTAAATTTCCATAAGTTATCGAATCGCACATTCACGGTATTAGCATAACGAAAACGATAAGAAAACGTCGAAAAGAAGACTACACAAACGATATAAATACAAAATTATTTAATTAAAGCCGTCTGCACTTAAAAGAAAAGTACCAAATACCAAAATATTTCAATTACCAGTGGCCAAAAGCAACACAATTCTTGTCACACTTGGCGCTTAACGTGTTGATCATTTGCTCCACATTCACGAATAAAGGACCTAATCACACGTTACCAACATCATCGTCGTCTTATCGACGGAATACCAAATATCAGGAAAAGTATCTATTGGTGGGGAGAGCTACCTTGAAAGTGTCGTTCACGATTGTATACTTATGCGAACAAGCTGGCTACTGTCTCTCAGTTGGTGTTCTCTAGTCATTCTGTACAGTTCGAGTTGTTGCCAATTTAACATCTCTAAGGACGTATCACTTTTCTCACACATTTTCCTCTGCCGCAGGACAAGGTTGCTAATCGAATAACCTTGTATAGCTTGACAAAAAGTTTCTCTTCTAAACGCATATAGACTTTCGTTTGAACTTTCTACCAATGTAACAGTTCTTACCAGTAACTCGTCGTTTATATCGTCACTTATCACGTTCACAGATGTCGAAAATAAGGTGAAAAGTTGACAATCATTGATCGAACGAAACGAAGTAATTACAGTGAAGAATATTGTTACTTTGAATTGCGTTCCATCAATCATCTCGAACTGTGTTTCAGTTGTAAAAGAAAATTTTATACGACAGTGTATCATTGATTGGGAAGAGTATAAAGAAGAGAGGGAGGGAGGGATAGATTCTTGTGTGAACCTTGCCTTCGAATAGTTAGTTTTGTGTAAAGAAATGGCGTGTCGTTCGTGTGGTCGTACTTCAAGGTTGACCAATTGATCTGGAAGTTTGTGAAAGATTCCTGGAATCTTGTTTGTGGAAGATAATTAATTGATTAATTAGAAATTTTCTTAATAATTATCTGATATATTAATATAAAAAAATAATGCTCTGTTCAAAAAAATATTAGTTAGAATTCATACTTGAATTTAGAATTGATTTATTCAAATGTGAAGAGTTTCAGATGTCAGGAATGTGATGCAGAATAAAGAACCTAATTAGTAGCATTTGGGTAATTTTCAATCGTATTTTAAGCTTTGTTTGATAATACCTGCTATCTGAGACTTTTATCAGTGGCAGCTTGTTATCAGTGATGCATTATCGTTAGGACTTAAAATTCAAATTGTATCTCGTTCGTGCAGTTTAAGAAATTAATCTTAGGCAACGGAAAATATGATAAATAAATTAGTAGAATGGTTCAAGTATAATTCGAACATTCGTCGAATGAAAATGGAATAATTATAAAATAAAGTAGTCGTTACTTATATTTTCATACTTATAATTTGCAAAGTTGTCATTAAAAATATTTTGATTTGATAATATTTTCAAAAAATATATACAGCGTTTATTCGCCGTTTTATTAAAAGTATTTTTAGCCGCGTAAATTTAAAATTCTGTTTATTTAATTATATTACATAAAATTTGTACTTGATGAGTTTCGAAAAGAAGAGCATTTTCGCTGATGATTTCTTAAAGCAGAATTTCCAAGGAAATTAACAAACAGTACAATAATAATTAAAAAAAAAGAAGTCAAAATTGGATCAATCAATAACCGGAAATCAATAATATTTTTAAATCTTTTAATCTATACTCGAAAGAAAAAATTGAAAAGCAAAGAAGATATACATTATACTTGACACAATCTATCACAGAAGAAAACACAATTATCGTTTGAAACAAGTAACAAACTGTGATTTGCTATAATAAGAAGTGCTTGATCTGATAAGGAACCATCAAACTGCGAACGTGCACTTCCTCGTCAAAGTGTCATCAAATAACATAATAGCGACGATTAAACTGTGATCAGGCTAATAACACACCAATGTACTGAGCTATAACGACAAGGCGAACAGTTAGAAACGAGATCGAGAGAAGAAGAAGTTCCAAATTGAAATTGTATTCAATAGGGTTCTAAGAGAAAGGTGGTAAAAGGGCAATTCTGGGAACCGGTTTCCGTGGCCTTGTACGTTTTCACCCGAATTATTATGATAATAACCTTCGCAATCCAGAGTGAATGAAATCTCTCCGGACAACCGGAATTGTCCGCAACTTGTAGCCTGAATCGATTGAAATTAGCTTCAAGGCAATGAGTGATTAAAGAATTGTAAAATAATTCGAAAATTTAAAAAAAATTTGAAACTTCGCAAAAATGTAGTTCAGTTGA